AGTATTTTGAGATTCCTGTATATTTTTGTATTTATACTTTGTTCATTCTATTTAGTTGTCTAAATATACAACATCTATCCACTGAATAGCAAACTTCCATGTATTGTATTTGTCATATGTATTTCTTCACAACATTGTGCCACATTTGCTACATCACTATGTCTGTCTCTTTACCTCCCTCCCTCCCCCGCCTCTCTACACACACACACACACACACACACACACACACACACACCATATGTTCACATACTCATTTATTTACATTTCCAAATCATTTGATATAATTTGCAGAGAACATGACCCTTAATCTCTAAAATCTTCAGAATCTATATCCTAAAATAAGGATATTATCTTATAGAAACAAAGTAAAATTCAAGAAGCTTGATCTTGATACAATCTTTTATCTAATATACAATCCATATTCAAATGTTACCAGTTGTCCCAATAATGTCCTTTACAGTAACTTTTTTCTCCCATCTAAAATTCAGCCCAAGATCATCCCTTGCATTTATTGTCATTTATCTTTAGTCTCCTTTTCTCTCTCTCTCTCTTTCTCTCTCTCTCTCTTTCTTTTTCTTCCTTCCTTTCTTTCTTTCTTTCTTTCTTTCTTTCTTTCTTTCTTTCTTTCTTTCTTTCTTTCTTTCTTTCTTTCTGTCCGTCTGTCTTTCCTCCTTCCTTCTTTCTTTCTTTTAATCTTTTTTTCTTAAGTTTATTGATTTATGTTTGAGAGAGACAGAGACAGCATGAGAAGGGGAGGAGTAGAGAGAGAGGGAGAGAGAGAATTCCAAGTAAGTTCCGCACTGTCAGCATGGAGGCTGATGTGAGGCTCGAACTCATGAAACCCTGAGATTATGACCCAAGCCAAAATCAAGAGTCAGACACTTAAACGACTGAGCCACCAGGCGCCCCACTTTGGTCTCCTTTTCAAACTTGAGTAGTTCCTCAGATTTTCATTATCTTTTAGGAAATAGACATTTTTGAAGGGGAGTCCACTCACTTTTCATACTTAAAAAGAAAACAAGATTTCTTTTAACCTTCTTACATTTCTGTAGAGTCACATTTTTTTCAGGCATGCACTAAATACATATAATTGGAATTCTGATGAAAATATTTAGTTGAGGAGTGCCTGGGTGGCTCAGTCAGTTGAACGTCTGACTTTGGCTCACATCATGATCTCACAGTTCGTGGGTTCAAGTCCCACATTGGGCTCTGTGCTGACAGCTCAGAGCCTGGAGCCTGCTTCAGATTCTGTGTCTCCCTCTCTCTCTGCTCCTCCCCTGCTTTGTCTCTCTCTCTCTCAAAAATAAAAAATAATCAAAAATTGTTTTAAAGCTTTTATAAAGAAAAAACTTGGTTGAGTCTAAATAGTTTGGTCAAAACTGTCTTGGAAATATGACACTTTGATACAATCACGGAAGCTCAGGCTGGTTGGGCACTCTTACTTGAAACTCAAAAAGCCTTTAGCTCCCAAACCAACAAATATGAACTTCCAAATCTAGATCATTTTCATTGCCTTTAGCCTCATCTGGGAACAAAGAGCTCACAAGTCTATGCTCAGGTTATGTTACCTTAGCTACCATCCTCTCTAGAGCAATAACAAAGGCAAGATATTTACTGTCAATAGGTATGTACCAATCACCCAAATCTGTTTACATTGGTTGCTTCAAAAGTTCAAACACCAGTTTAGTGTAGTTCGACATATGTTTATTGAACATCTACTATGTGCCAGGCACTGTGTTAGGCTCTGGGAATATTTGGATGACTAAAACATAGCCCCTGCCTTCAAGAATAAGCAGTATAGTGGAGGTTATACATACACACATATACCTGTATCCCTCCCTATACCATACTTGTATAGAGAGAACGAAGATTCTACGTGATACATGGAAAAATAGAAGGACACTGAGGGAGCACCAGGAGAGCAGGTCTGACATGGGGGGCAAGTGATGTGAGACATCAAGGGAGTCTTTGTAGATGGAGAGTGTCCTAAAGTACATGTTCAAAGACAAGTGAAGCGTTTGCCAACCAGGATGGAGTGTGTGCTTGTGTGTAGAGCAAGGGTGGGAGAGGACAAGCGGTGTGGGCTTTGCTGCCATAGTGTAAAAAGCAAGACAGGGCACTTTCAGGCATTTGATGGCTCACTGAAACAAGTTCCTTTCTTGTTAAACACCCCCCCCCAAAAAAAAAAAGCAAGACAGGATAGGGGCAGATCTCAGAGGTTTTTAAACCATATCAGAGCGCTTGAATGAAAGTTTATAGGAGAGCCTTTGATCAATATTAAATAGCAGAAAGGTTACCAAATTTGTGTCTTAAAATAATCTAGCCATATTTCGGAGCATGAATTTTGGTGGGGGACAAGAGTGTGGGCAGAGAAACTGTCACAGCCAGATAAGAGATGAGGAGGGTGTGAATTAGGGCGGTGATAAAAGTGACAGAATCAAGAAGTAATTAGGACATCAAAATAGCAATTGGTGATTGGGTGTGGGATGAGGGAGTAGTAAGGCTTCATGGTTGGTGATGCCAGCAAGCAGGATGGAAAATATAGAAAAAGCCCATCTATTTATGGGGGGAGGGAGTGGAGTGCAGAGTGGAAAGAGGGTATGTTGAGTTTTCAGTGTGCTACGAAGTACCCACGAAGGGTTCAGGTGGAGATGCCTAGCTGGAAGTTCTGGGCAAGGAGTTGAGCTAAGATGTAGAAGGTATCATCATGTGAGTAGAAACTAAATGGGTAAACATGTGAAATTGCCCTGGCAGTGAGAAGAAAGATGAGCCAGTGACAGACTCAATGATCACCAACATTTAAGGGAGCAGGAAGAAGTCCATGGAAACTTAAGTCAGACGTTACAAAAGCAAAGCAACGTGGTATGTATAATTGTCCTTCCATGATGGAATGAACAATTCTTGATCTGTTGATCCTTGATCTCTGTACTTTTAAGGATCATTTAAATCTATTTTGCAACATCCTCTGACCAGAACAAACTCTGCCAAGCACTATTATTAATTAAATTCTTGTCAAAGATGTAATTCCTGCCCTCTGAAGTCCTACAGATAAACCTTCAAAGTCAGCTAAATGTGACTCAACTCAGCTGTCTCTTCTTGGAATAACGTTCTCTGTTCCCTCACCAGTTCCCCAGATGATGATTTTCAGCCTTCATCTCTGGTGATCCTCTGCTGGGCACGCTGCAATGTGTCAACCTGTCTATGAGCATAGCAAGCCATCCCCTGACAGTAGTCTAACTTGTGCACAGCACACTACAGGTATTATCTTCCTTGCCTGGGAAACTCTATTTCTTGTAATGAAGCCTAAAATTAAGTTTATGATCAGCCACTTTTCACTGTTAGCTGTTTGAACTAAAGTGCACTACCCTTCCTCCAACATAAATGTAATCGACTCTTCTTGCCCCAGCCTGTGCTTCTATGGGTGATTTTTGTTTAGCCTAAATTGTAGGTTTCACCTCTCTGCTCGTTTTTCTTTCACTCATAGGAAAAGCCTTCTTCTTGTCCCTTTCATCATGGGGCAGGAAATAGCCAGGACACCTGATAATGACAAAAATTGTAGACAAACATGCAGCAACCATCAGACCAAAGTGTATGTCAAAAATTCACTCTCACGAACTTCAGGTCTATGGTGAATGTTGTGATCCACCTAAGGCTTTTGGCTCTATCTTCAGACTGTAAGTGTAAGAAGGAAATGGGGGCGCCTGGGTGGCTCTGTCGGTTAAGCATCTGACTCTTAATTTAGCTCAGATCATGATCCAGGGGTCATGGGACCGAGCCCTGTGTCTGGCTCAGCACTGGGCATGGTGCCTGCTTGAGAGTCTCTCTCCCTTTCTTTGTCCCTCCCTCCTCTCAAAATAAGCAAACATCAAAAAACATCAGTTAAAAAAAAAAAAAAAGAAACGGATTAAAGGTGACGCATATGGCAGCTATTATCTTTCTGATTGGTTAATTCCATTTTTCTCCAATCTCCTGTTTGTTGATTAGAACTGTATTCCTTTCCCCTTCTGAGACCTCTAGAGGATTAGAAGTGTGTGGCACTGGGGCGCCTGGGTTCTTAGTCGGTTGATTGACTTCAGGTCTGGTCATGATCTCATGGTTCATAGGTTCGGGCCCCACGTCGGGCTCTGTGCTGACAAGCCAGCTCAGAGCCTGGAGCCTGTTTCAGATTCTGTGTCTCCCTCTCTCTCTGACCCTCCCCTGCTCATGCGGTCTCTCTCAGAAGTAAATTAAAATTGTTTTTTTTTTTTAAATTAGAAGCGTGCGGTGCTTTGGAGATAGAGGACAGGGCTTCAATCAACCCTAAAGAATGGTCTCTCAGGAAAAGGTGAAATAAATGGAGGAAAATATGCTTAGGAAAGACATGGCATATGAGTCAACCCCAAATCAGGTAGCCTTGCAATACAGTACACTTCCAGCCAACGACAGAGGATGTGAACTCCTCAAAGAGGCCATCTGCTCGGTTTGGGGCTTTCTCTACTGTTCTTCCCCCAAAGAGCAAGCGTTGTGGAGTCCACTCTACGAAGCTATTAGATTGATTCTCTGTAGTTCTCACATCCTTGCAGATCTTCCCATTTGTGCCCTTTTCATGGACAGGGGCTTCCTGTTGCAGGACGACTGCTGGAGCCAAACTGCTTAAGTTTGGATCCTGACTCCATCCTTTACTAGGATTGTGGTCTTCAGGAAAGTTAACCCATTTGTAAAACGGAGTTACTATGTATCTCAGGATTATGAGAAGAGTAAATATAAATCGCTTAAAAGAGTGCCAAGCACGTATTATGCTTTTGATTAGTACCATTTCTTTGGTGTTCCTTGGCCTCAGAGCAGTTTTGATATGGGTACAGGTCCTGTGTGCGCCCCCAGTATAACTAAATCGCGGCTGAGTGAGCTAACCGTGAATACGTGGACGGGCCAGGACTTCCGGAGACACTGATGTTGTAGGCAACATAGTAGAAAACAATTGTTCTGGTCCTCGAGTTCTACGGAGTAGGAAGACGAGGCAGTTTCCTCCTGTGTACGCTTTATTCACACATGCTAAATCTCACTGTACAGATCAGCCTGTCAGGGAAGATGACAAAGGGCAAGTGAGGGCTGTTAGGGTAACCCTTGCTTCTGGGCTTGTTTTGCACCAAGGTAAATAAATAGGAACAAGACTGAGGGCACGAGGGTGAGGGGTGAGGAAGGGATGGAGCAGTGTGGGGGGCAGCTCACAGCGAGGCAGGCAGGCAGCAGCAGCAGTTCTAGCCAATCAATGCTTTATTTTTCCAGTCAACACCTGCACAGATGCTACTGTCCGCTTCCTGACCCCGACAGGGGTCGCACCACACTCGGACCATTCACAGCCCAGAGACAGAGCTCCTGCTCACTGACGCAGCGCCGGTGCACAGGCTGTGGGACGCCCGCTCTCCTCCCTCGTCACGAAAGGCTGGGATGAAGCAGGGCGAGGTGCGGTGGAGGTCACTGCTGTCGTGACAGAAGTGCACACCCATACCCGCCGGCCTGCCCCGCCGCCCCAGGGTCACAGGCGGTACCACCCCGACAGAAGCCCCCCTGAAGCTCAGCTGCGGCCTGCTGGCTGGGAAGGTGCGTGGCCTGCCGGGAAGGCGCCGGCAAGGAGTGGGGATTGAGCTGCTGAGGACAGGACACAGGCAGGATGTAAAGCAGAGAGCGACATGGGACAGGAAAGAAAAATGATAAAGTGCCCAAACTAAACACCCAGTGGGACACGAGGACGGAGCAGCACAGGTCCCTGAGGAGAGGAGGAAAAAGAAAGGGAGCGACCACCAGGGCTCGAGGCAGAGTGGAATGAGAATAGAGATGAGGCAGGGAGGCAAGTGCAGGCTGTGGGAAGGACTTCCCTAGCCCTGTTCACATCCACTAACCCAAGTGTAAAATTATTTACAAACTTAAAACCAATCCCAGGCACGGGCACTGTCCAGGCCTGGGACAGCAGGCAGGCAGGCAGGCAGGCAGGCGGGGTGGGGGTGGGGGGGCGGCTACCATCTGACAGCCAGCTTCCCCACACACGGCCTCTCCCGAGAGCAGGGAAAAGAGGAGACAGCGATGCCCCTAGCCAGGAAGCCCTACCGTGCCTGCGACTCCTTCCCCCGTGGCTCATGGCTCTGCCACGGCCTGAGCCTCCTGGTCTGACTGTACCAGAGAGAGGGTGTCGGGCCCTAGGGATGGAGGAGGCAGAGCATCAGGGGGCTCCGAGGACGTCTCTGGCCCCAACCCCAGCTCAGCATTCAGCTGTTCCAGCTCCCCCTGATCCAGTAATTCGAAGTCCTCAGTGGTGAGTGCCTCTTCTTCCTCAGGGACGGGCAAGGGCTGGGACGAGTCCTGGGGAAGAGGTGGGAGCACTGAGGGGGAGGGGACCGGGTCACTCTCAGCCAGGCCAAGTAGGGGTGACAAGGTGCTCGGTGGAGGGGTGAGGTCACCGCTCTCTGCCTCCGGAATCAGTGTTTCCACTGGTCCTCCAGGGGAGAGCTTCACTCCACCCGCAGGAGAGCCTGCCCCATTGAAGTGCGTGTTCACAAAGTGGAGGGGAGACGAGAGCCGAAGCAAGGTTTCCTTGGCCACCACATCCTCCTCCTCTTCCTCTGAGTCCAGGTCTTGCCTTGAGAGGGCCTGAGGAGGGCCCAGCAGGTCTTCAGGAGGGCTCGGCTCTGTCTCCTCTCCCTCCCCCAGCTCCCGGCTCAGGGCTTCCTCTGGCTCACTCGGCAGGCTCTGCTGGTCCAAATCTGTGCAGAAAACAAAGGGTCAGGAATAGGTGGATAGGCCTGCTGTTCTGAACGGTCACAACAGGCAGTCACTTCAAGGATGAGAACTCAGGGCATGGAATGCTAGACCAAGCCGTAGGTGTTGAGGTCTTTCAGAGCTTGAAGGCGAATTAGAAGGTCAATTCCCAGAAAAAAAAAACATTTATGGGGGTGACAGCCAGAGAGCACAGCCAGCATCCACAACGGGGAACATGAAGACTGGAAGGGCCAAGAGCTTCCCATACCCTCTGAGACATCAGTTAGCTGTGGAGTTGTGGCCCGGGATACAGAGAAGCCACCACTCTCCAAGATAGAAGCCTCCTCATCTGACAGCTCCGAGTCAGTTATGGCCAAAGCCAATGCCGTTTTCTTCACATCCACCTGCAAGAAAACCCGGATAACATAGCAAAGGAGAACACAAGGGAACCAATTTTTCAAGAGCACCCCTGCTCCCTGACTCCCACCCTCTTGAGAGGCGGCTGCTCTGAAACAGATTCTCCTCCAGCCTCTACTTGGCATCCCATCTCCCTTGGACCTCACCACCGGGGAGAAGCCAGCAAGCTCTGCTTCGCTTTCACTCTCTGTCTCCGCTAGTGGCTCATCACCTCCAGGGGGTGCGTTCTTCCCTTGCCGCTCTGGCGAAATAAGAACAGCAGGGCAGTGACCAAGCAGAGACGGTGGGTGGATGGAGACAAACATGGCCAAGGGACAGGAGAGACATTATCTAAGTTCCAGGGCGCTTCATGAGCCATAAACCAATGCCCCCCCCACGCCCCCCTCCAGGCACGGGAGCCCCTTACTCTTCTTGTCGTGTTTGTGATGCAGAGCGTCAGCTTCTGCCTTCATGCTGTAGTCCAGCTGCATGAGCAGGGGCTCGAGGCGAGTGTACATCCTCTGGATCAGTTCGTGATAAACCACCAGGGGCCACAGCAGGATGCTCAGCACTAGAGGTTAGAGAGTCCACTCAGGGCTTCCTGCACCTACTTCCGAAGGGCCCTCAGCCAGCTGGTCCCTAAACAGAAAGGGCTGAAGGGCTCCTGCAGTCTGGACAGACAAACCTCCTCCCTCCACATCTACCACTCTCCTGCCCAGATGACTCTTCCACTGTTACTAACACTCCAGCATGCCCTGGAAATATCCGTCAACAGGTCATCAAAGAAAGGGAGAGCGCCGTTCTCCTTTAAGGCTAGCCAGTCCCCTTGACCCAGTTCAAGAAAAGAGAAGGAGCGAGCTGCAGGAAGGGCAGGGGTTAACCTCTACTCACAGACAATGTAGGAAATCATAATCCCTGGAACGTAGTGTCCCAGCACGGCCAGCACGGCGCAGCCGGAACAAACTCGTGCACAGAACTGCAGAGAAGAGCAGAGAATCTAAGAGGCATATCTGGGCAAGAAACTGCTGCTCAGCTGGTGCAAGGAGGGGAATGCCTTCTAGGGACGCAGCGATTTAGTCTAGGCAAGAGGATGCCCAAGGCAAGCAATTCAGTAAGTTTACAACAGACACCACCAAACACCTATGACTCAAACTGATATCCCTTAACAAGAAGCAGTGTCAAAACATCCAGAACTTACTCTCTGAAATGAGACTACTCCTGTACCAGGCTACTACCTTCGAGTATTGCCTCAAAAAGGCATCTGACCCTCTTCCTTCAGTGTCCAGCGAGGGATTTCACGTTACGCCTCCCCATCCCCCACCTGTTTCCCCATAGTGCAGGAAACTGTTGTAGGACATGAAGGAGTTTACCTGAGCGGGATTCTGCCTCTTGTACTGCAGCAGCTCCTGCAGGTGAATCTGGAAGGTGAGCCAGCTCTCAGCCAGGTATCTGCACAACTCGGGCACACTCAGCAGGTGCGGCCGGGCGCCTGACCCCGCACCCTCACTGGGGAGACACGACATGACCCCTGGAGGCCTCAGACACCAGCTTCCTAGGCACTCAAATCCCTCTGAGAATGCCAATGGGATCTTGAGGCTACAAAAATGGACAATCCCACCTCCCAAAGGGAGGCCGTCCTCACCTTGGGAAGCAAAGCCCAGAGGTCCCAACCCTCTGCTCCAAAAGGAGCAGGCACCCAACACCTACACAGGAACCCAGGACCGAACTTGCTGCCAGTCCATTTGCTATGCTGGGGTCTCCGCCTGCAGACCCTGCGGTGTGCACCTATACCGTGGGGACACTGGCACCAAAGCAAAACAGGGTTTGGGCATTAGTTCAAGAGATGGCTTGCACTCACCTGTCAGAGTGGGGCTCCTCTGGGGATGATGCTATGAAGAGAGGAGAGGAACAGGTTATTGAGCAGTAGAGCTCTGGGAGACACTCCCCAGGGCAGAACCAGTTGCCCCTCCTCTGCATTCCCAGAGCACCTTCAGACACCAATTGTAGGAAAAATTGTGTCGTTACTATTGCTGGTATTTACACATCTGTTCCCTTCTTTAATCACTTCTTTTCCTTTTTTCTTAAAAATTTATTATTTTTTTACTAATCTCTACACTCACATGATGCTTGAACTTACAACCCCAAGATCAAGAATGCTCTACTGGCTGAGCTAGCCAGGTATCCCCAACCTTAATTTTCTTCTAAGTTTTTAAGTCACTTATTTTGAGATGAAGGACACAAGGTGCGTGTGGGGGGGAGGGGCAGAGAAAGGGAGGGAGAGAGAGAAACTCCCAAGTAGCCTGACTTGGGGCTTGCTCTCCTCTCACTAACCTTGGGATCATGACCTGGGCAGAAATCAAGAGTCAGACACTTAGCTGACTGAGCCACCCAGATGCCCCGAAACTGCACTCTTTTACACATCTTACTCCTGTTTACATTTCAAGTAGTTCACACACAGGTGACACCGAATTGCTCCAAAATACCTGTTCAGTAAATACAGGAGTAAGGACAAAAACAGAACCTGACATTCCTAGGATTCCTGTGATATCTGAAACTCTACCATAAACACATAACAGGTATTAATTCATTTAATCTTCACTTCCTTACCCAGTGAATTCTATCATCCTTGTTTTAGAAAATAGAAAAGGGAAGCAAATAGAAACTGAGTGGCTCTTACAAGGTCACTCGCACGGGAAACCAAGCAATGGAACCCAGGCCGAAGAGTCCGCCCTCTTAAGTACTACACTCACAATAACGGTAATTTTGAGAAGAGCAACTCTCCACTGCCTAACTGGGGAAGTGGTGGTGCCTGGGAGCTGGGGGCCTGCGGTACATTTCCCCTCACCACTCAGCCCACCCAGCGGGGTCAGGCACAAAGCAAGTGCACGACGGGGCTTGCTGAATGAACACTCACCTGAGATGTCAGGGAAGAAGCGAGGCTGCCAGAGATCCAGCAGAAAATAGGCCAAAAGTGAGACGCTGAGCAGGAAGAAGGGCCGGAGGGACGACGAAGAGAGCAACCTTAGGGAGAGACAAGAACCTCGGCAGTGAGTGGGTGAGAGGCTCCCGCATCCATCGCCAACGGCGGAAAAGCGCTCACTGATGGGGGAACCGGAACCCCCAGGCCTACCCTGAGACCCGAGACAGAGGCACAGGACAACCCCGACAGACCACGGCCGGGAGAAGGAGGGGGGTCCGCCCTTCCCCGCCCCCACTCCCCCCGAAGCAAGTGTCAACCCCAGAAACGGGAAAGGTGCTCCCGGCCCCTCCTGCCCCCGCAGCTCGGCCCCGCCCCCTTCTTCTCCGTGGCCGTTACCAGAAGAGGCCGTTGAGCGCGGCCGCCGTGACCAGGCTGTGCAGCGGTTTCTCCCACACCAGCAGCCGCTGCGCCGCCGCCAGCACCGCCTCCCAGCCGCGGAGCCGCAGCCACAGCGTCGTGGCCAGGCGTCCCACCGCCTCGGCCGTGGCCGCCTCCTCCTCCGCCTCGCCGGTGGCCTCCTCCATGCCTAGGTTCAGGCCCAGGCCCAGGCCGAGACCCAGGCCTACCCCCGACCCCCCACCCGCGCCGGTGTTAGCACCGCCACCGCCGCTCGCCATAGCCCCGTCGCAGCCGCCGCCCGAGCCCGCGAGGAGCCAGGGCTGCGCGGCCGCCGCCGGGGGCGCGTCAGGCGGAAGGGGGCGCACGCCGCGGAGAGCGCAGCGGCGGCCGCCCAGGGCCGTCACGTGACGGAGGGAAGACGAGCCGTCACGTGACGCAGATTAACCGCCGGGCTCGGGCGGCCCGCGCCTGCGCACAGGCGGCTGCCCGCTACCTTTCTGCGCAGATTCGTATTGTGACTGCTGGAGTCGTGATCTTGGGTCGTGACTGTGTGTTGTCCGGCTGGACGGGACCGAAGGACTGTGTATCCGTGTCTTAGCACTCCAGCCCGTCTTCCTTTCCCTATATAGGCAGGGCGGCTAGGGAGTCCCGTGCTGGCCGGTTTTCTCGGTGTGATGCGGCCTGAAGGGGCAGGAAGTGGGCTTCCAAATGCCCAGTGTCCGGAGTAGGATCTGCTTCAGCACGGGAAGGGCGGCGGCGGTCCCATTACTCAGCCGTTGACTTACTGGTCCTTCCAGTTCCCTCCCCTCAGCGGATAAACAAACACCAGCGCGTGACTCGACTGACTCTAAAACAGCCTCACCTACTCAGTCAAGTTGTTTCTTCCCCATCCCCTTCCGTAAACTTTACCGCCGGCACGTAGCGGAGCTTTTTCCAATCCCTTAGACAGGACATGGGGGTCGCGGGGTGAATTTAAAAATAGAATCCTGTTTAGCAGTTGTTGGCTCTTGGAGGGGGCATTAATACCGTTTACTGAGGCTTACAGCGTACTACGCGCTTTGTATTCCTTTGTGACCATTTAATTTCTGCAGTGATCCCACAAAATACGTAATTAGATTTAGAGTTCAAACGCCTGAAAGGAAGGTTATAGAGCAAAAAGTTGTTTCCCTGCCACCTTTCCACGGTGCACCCACTGTTGTTTCTTCTGTGTTACTTCCGACGCATTTTATACGTGTATATTCTATGTGTATATCTTTTAACAAACGTTTGGGAGCAACTCGTTCTGCATCTTGGTTCTACTCATTAACATCGATATTGGTACGAGGCGGCCAGCCGGGCTCGTTCATCTTCAGTGTGGCGTGGTCCCCCGGGAATTGTCCCCATTACCCAGCCAGACGAGGGCACGCTGGGACTTAGTTCTGGGACTCTCCCGGGCTCAGGGGGACCAGGATTGAGAGTTTGGCTCCTCCGTGGCGGTCGGGGCTGGTAGCTGGGCCCAGCGGGTGGCAGGAAGTGCCGGGCGCTGACTCGCCGGCGACACCCCCGCGGCTAATAAACGCGGGACAGACGCGTAGCATGCGCTTAGCAGCCGGGTGTCCTCTCCACTGGGTGAGGTGAGCGTCCCGGCCCCCGAGGCCCATACCCGGAGCCCGGATCGCGCAGCCCGGAGTCCCGGCCCCAGAGCCCCGCCCGGGGCGGAACAGGAAGAGGCGCCCTCCAGCCCGGCCCCGCCTGCTGCCGCCGGCGCAAGGACCGGGGGCTTCGCTGGCGAAGGCGGCCGTCCGCGTGGGGGAGGACAGCGGGCAGGCGAGGGTTCCGCGGCTCCCTTACCCCTCGTTCCCTTCCACTTTTCGCAGGGCGGCGAGTGGCGGCGCGATGGACTTGGCCGGGCTCTTGCTAGACGAAGAAGGCACCTTCTCCCTCACGGGCTTCCAGGACTTCTCGGTGAGAGCACGGCCCGCCCCCTCCCCAGCCTTCCTGTGCTTGAGCCCCGGACCCCGGGCGCTCCTCTGGGGGCCCGAACGTGGCCGCGAACTCGCCTGACGGCTCGGTGCGGAAGCCAAGCGGCAGCCACTCGAACCTTGCCTACTCGAGGCCCGGGCTCCTTGGGCCCTGAGGGAGAGCCGCGGGGTAGGGAACTGGAGGTAGGGACGGCCACCAGGGACTTTCTCTGAGAACCTTTGCTGGGGTGTAGTCAGTGGTGGAGGATTCCCCCCCCCCCCCCCAACGCATTCTCACTGTAGATAAGCTGCGGTTGGTAAATAATCCAGAGAACGGGGCTGGGTGGGGCACGGGCCCCACCAGCAGTGAGGTGAGCCTGCCGCCCCGCACCCCACCTCCAGCCTGGAGCCAGGACCTCCATTGTAGCCTTTCCTGCCTTTCACCCTCCACCACCTGCCATTTCAGTTCCTCCCTGGACACCAGAAGCTCAGTGCTCGGATCCGACGGAGACTCTACTATGGCTGGGACTGGGAAGCTGACTGCAGCTTGGAGGAACTCTCCAGCCCAGTGGCAGGTTAGTGAGTAACCTGGTTGGGTAAGTGAGAAACCTGAAAGTGGGGTTATCAGCAGTCACCAAAATAACTAGGTGTCTCCCATGAGCTACATTGTCTTTTCATAGCTAACTTATGGAGGTCTGCTGTAAGGACTGGGTTTCCATTCCGCATTTTTTTAGGCGGAACGATGAAACACATTGCTATCTTATAAATCCGTGTCACTCTTTCTCTCTCTCTCTTTTAAGCTTATTTATTTATTTATTTTGAGAGAGTGTGTGAGAGAGAGCGTGCGTGTGTAGGGGAGGGGGCAAGAGAGAGGGACAGAGAGAGAACGAGAGAGAGAATTCCAATCAGGCTCCTTGCTGTCAGCTCAGAACGTGATGGGGGCTCGACTTCACTAACTGTGAGATCAGGGCGAGCTAAAATCGAGTCAGGATGCTTAACTGAGCCACCCAGGCACCCCCACTCTTGATTTGTATATGAGAAACACATCATACATGTCCCAAATTCCCAAGGCATGTTTGTTTCCTCAAATGGGCAGGGTGAAAAACAAACCTAGATAGTTTTGGGGACAGGAAAATAAGCCTTCCTGTTGGAAGGAGCTGAAGTTCAAATGTGGAGTGGAGTTTTTGTCTCAACGTGGGAGAATTTGGTGTATTTTGTTACTGTGGTCCTGTCCCCAAGGCTTCAGATAATACAGATCTGGGTCTTCTGCTGATAGCAGTCGGGACTAGGTGTGTGTGGGAGTTGGGCGTGGTGGTGGTGATGGTGGAGCTGTTTGCTTACTCGCCCTTCCTTTTGTCTTCTGCAGACATTGCCGTGGAACTGCTGCAGAAGGCGGCCCCCAGCCCTATTCGCCGACTCCAGAAGAAATACGTAGCTCACGTGTCCCGGTGAGCTTGGAATTGAGGGGGATAGGATGATAGTGTTTGGGCCCTAGAAAAAGGGGAAAACTGTAGTCTCTAAAGAGAAGGTTTGAAGACAGAGGGTTATAAGCGCTGAAAGACCCTTGGTGTTAATTACGGATCCTTTCGCCATCCAGGGAGGCGTGCATCTCCCCGTGTGCTATGATGCTTGCCCTGGTGTACATCGAGAGGCTCCGCCATCGAAACCCAGACTACCTGCAGCACGTGTCATCCTCTGACTTGTTCCTGATCTCCATGGTAAGACACCCCCTCTTCTTCGTCCCCCTGGTGAGCCAGGAGCTGGGTGTGAGCACTTCCTGACACAGCACCTCCGGCTTCCCTGCAGATGGTGGCCAGTAAGTACCTCTATGACGAAGGGGAGGAGGAGGAGGTCTTCAATGATGAATGGGGAGCTGCAGGGGGTGTGGCCGTGCCCACTCTCAATGCCCTGGAGAGGAGCTTCCTGAGTGCCATGGTGAGTATCTGTTCTGTTCTTCTCACTTCTCATTATGTTCCTCTCGTCCTTTGTTTTTGTCTGTCAGCGTTCTGTAGTTTCTTTTCACCTCTCCTTGTGTCTTTCCTTATCAGTGTCTTCCCTTCCCAGCCCTTCTGGACCAACCACAGCCTTTGGAGGTTCGTGGCATGGTGAGGCCAGAAATGGAACCCCGCCTCCCTCCCGTCCCCTAATTCCTTTAGGCCCGACATGTTAAACTCTGAGTCTGCGCTTATCTCACCGGGTTCTGATTATTTGCTTCCAGAGTATTCTCTGCCTTGTGACTCTGAGCTCCCGAAGAGCATGGACCATTCTTAGGATTATTTTCTCTCTTTGCTCTTAACTGAGGGTGTAACGTGAAACCGGACAATGTGGTATTAAGCGAGTTAATACATAAAAGCTCCTGAAACAGTAACTGGCACGGAGTTAAGTGCCAAGAAAGCATCTGCCGTAGTGGTTGTGGCTGCTGCCCTGGTCTTGGTTACTAAATGGCTGTGGTTTATATCTGAGCTTGGCCTGGTGCCCTTCTCTTCCTACCCATAGGATTGGCGTCTTTACACTGACCCTCGGGAGATCTTTGAGGTGCTGAGCTGGCTGGAGAGCTGGTAGGTTCTAGGAGTTCGGAAGAGGGGCTTAAGAAATTTGGGGGCTTAGACCTAAATCATAAGGGTGAGGGTATAGCTGGGCGGGGAGGGAGGAGACAGCAAGGCAAATTGCTCAAGATAATTGTTCCTAAACCTGTCTGCTCTCTGTAATCACCTTTGGAAGGGTGGTGGAACCTTGTTTAAAATACAGATCTCAGTCTCGGCTCAATCAACAGGTAGTTTAGGATTCTGGATGTGTAACAGGTTCCCCAGTGTGGGTCCCCAGGGGATTGAGGGTGTCGCTGGGCCAGCCGCAGGAGTGTTGAAGACGCCCTTTGTCTCTCTCCCCTTCCAACAGTGTGGCCGAGCAGCAGGGGCGGCGGCGGGGCTGGTACACGTACACAGACCTGTGTGTACTGCTGGAGCAGCCGGCCTGGCAGTTGGCCCTGGGCTCCCTCTGCCAGCGGCTGGCAAAGGTGAGGAGGGTTGGGAAAGACAGGGGCCTTAAATAGGCTGGTATGTAGGGTGGGAGGAGCAAATGCTGAAAGTCTCAGGAAACAGGGTTTGCGAGTAGATGGTGACAGAGAGCTCTGACTTAGCACAAGTGTCCAGACAGGGAGGGTTGTGTTAAGGGCAGAAGCAGGTTTTGGGGGAAGGGTATTTGGGCACTCACTGTTCTTATCTTTTCTCCCACAGCTGTCTTGCCTGTTAGCTATGGCATATGTGAGCAGTGTGGCCCTGGCTGTGGCATCGCTGGCTGTAATCCACCAGTCCTTGGGGCTGCCCTGCAGCCCCTCGCCGGGCCCCCCGGACCTTGGACTGGCCCCCAGGTGCCTCCTGGAACCCTGCATTCCTTCTCCCGTGCCGCAGTGCCTGCCATGTCCTGTTAACGTCTCCAGCTGCCTGGACAGTGACACGGGGCTGCGTTCACTCTGGGGCAGTCTTCTGGCCTCACTGACTCCTCCACCGCTGCCTCCCCCAGACCCTCCTGCCCCTCCCACTCTTTTCCATAACTGTCCCCTTTGCCAGAAGCTCCGGAGAGACTCCCCAGACTGCCATGCCTGCCACCACTCCAACCATACCGTCTCCACTGGGTCCCCCCGCCCTGGGTACCACTCCCATGGCCTGGCGCCGCCGTGGCCCTGGAGCCCAATGCCCCCCCTGCTCCCCCAGCCCCAGCAGTGTTCCCTTTTCAGCGTCATGGAGCTAGCCCGTCTCAAGTCTTTCATTTTCCCAGGCTAGGCAGGCATTCACCGGATGCATTAAGAGGATTTGGGAGTCCCTGAGAACCTGGAGGGGCAAAGCTTGATTTAGATCGTCTCTACCTCTCTGGGTCCTTGGCTGGTCCCTGTCCTCCTAGGTAATGGAGCTTAAGGGGTTGTGGGGCAGAAGGACTGAAGGTCACTCACTCTCCTAGACCTCGGTGGCTGGCTGCTTGGCCAGGGCCGTGATGGTGCCAGGGAAAACTTCAGCTTGGTGGCCAGGGCCATGTCACAGCCAGACAGAGGAGAAGCCCCTGTGTCTCCACCTCCCTGGGTTCTAGACTTTTGCTTTTGAGTTCCCTAGGATGAGGGGGGAAGGTGGGAGATGGGAAAAGCAGGGTGAGGGAGGGAGGAGATGTTGACTGGGGGCCTGTGTGATGTCCCTGAGGCAGGAGAGCCAGGGACTGACAGGGCCCAGGTGGGATCTGCCAAGGGAAGGTGGGGTGAGGTGGGAAACCCTCTCCAAACCCCATCCCTTGGATGTAGCCTAAAGGAGCCAGGGACTGCTGGGACCGTCAGCCCTGCCCTTTTGTCTTCCAGCTTCTTAGTACCCTGCTCCCCTGGGCTTCCCTCTCTTCCAGTTCTTCTCCTGGGTGTTCTCTTCACAGGCCTCTCTGGCCACTGCTTTGTATCTGGGTTTTTCACGCTTTTGTAGAACTGAGGTTTCAATAAACAGTTTCAGTTGCATGGCTGGGATTCTTTCCTGCGGCAGCCCTTGAAGAATTTCCTCCCCATGCCTGGATTCTAAGCTTTTCTACTTCCTGAGCCCAGCATCTTGCAACTCATTCGCTCTGAGCCCCATTTTAAAACTCCCCTGTTGTTGAATGGTTACAGGCTTCCATTTCAAACTTACACTCATCTCTGCTCCCAGCACCCGGGGGGGCCCTAGCGCTGCTCTGACTTGGGTGCTGTGGGGTCACAGGTGGTGAGTCTATCATGGCTGAGCTTGGCCCTGTCACAAGTACTGGGTGAGCTCCATCCTTGCGGATCCTGAGAAGCTAAGGCGAGTGTCCTGACTTCCAGTCTGGTCAGACACGTGGTGGTAGTTGGTGTTAAGATGAGTCTAAAGCTGGGTTATCATCAAAGGAAAGAAAACTGTTCTGGCACCTGGACTGGGAATAATGGGACTCCTTAAGGTGATCCACACCACAGTTAGTACTGTCCCCTAGGGGGCAGTCTGGAGACTTGGAGGGCATTTTCTGATTGAGGCAAAACTTTGAAGGGATGCTACTGGCGCTTAGCTGATATGGCCCGGACGCTAGGCATTCTGGAATGCTTGAGACACCCCTCGCCGCCAACCCATGAAGAGTTCCCAAGATACCTTTCTAATGACCTGCTGGACGTCATGTGTACGAAAAGCTTGCTTATCTGAGCATAGAACTATTTTTAACATGTAAACACGAAATTGTTTTTCTACATTTTGGAAAAGACTCCAAGTTTGCCAGGAATGTACCTACGTGTAAATTAAAACCGGACTTTGCTTTGTTCTGCCCTTGGCCAAGAGCTTGTTCATTATTTTGGAACATCAGGTCACCAATGGCAACACTGCTGGTGGTACATGAGTCACCGGCAAAGCACCAGTGTCAGTGGACATTGTAGCTCTCAGGTCCATGGCGATGAAACGGAGTAGGCAGTGGGCTACGGTGTCTTCTCTTTTAGTTGGGCCCAAGCTTTCACAGATGAAGCATTTTTTATTATCACTTACCTTTATGTCTTCCTTCTGTTACAGTGAGAAAATTATATGGAATCGTGGTCACTTTTGCCATGCATGATGTAGGGACATTACTCATGCATTTCCTTCCCAGGTAGTCCTGGGGCCTTGACCCTGAAAGGGTTGAGAACTGGTGTAACCATGATCGTTTCAAATGCTGGCGATGAGGAGGGAACAGTAAAACCTCCCCAGGATATTTGATAAGTCTCCTCCCCACCTCTCCTATCCTACTTTCCAGGGCGTGGAACAGGGGATCTAGATGGGAGATTCTTGGGGGGGGAGGGGTCCAGAACGTGGCTCCCCAGTTAATGGGTGATGGAATTTGCACAAGAGCTGGGCAAAGGTGAAAGGGCCTGTCCTGCCCCAAATCCCTCATCCCTTCGCTCCGCTTCACTGACACCTCCACCCCCTCCCCACTCCAGGCAGCTAACTTCATCCAAACTCTGACCTTACTCTCTCTACTTAACTCTAGCCCAGGGCAGCCAAGACAAGAAGAAAGGCAGGCAGCATGAGCCGATCACACCCCCATCCCATCCAACTCCAGTCCATGGGCCCCCAGGATGCCCTGGTCCCCTTGCCACAGCCACCACCACCGCCACCGCCACCACCGCAGCCTGCTGTCCAAAAACCCTCCTCTCACCCTTGGGCCTCTCACTGTGGGCCTCCTCCCTGGGGCCTCAGCTGTCTTCTGGCTCTGCAGGTAGGAGGCAGAGGTGTAGGAGTTGGTCCTGGCTGAAAGGGTGATGGGGCGGGGGGGGGGGGGAGTAAGTGTGACATGAGAAACCCTCAGGAAATAGGCGTTTCCACCTGTTTCTGAAGACTCTCCTTCCCCTGTCTTCTCCTGCAGCATATCTTGGTGCTGGCTTCTCTGCTCTGTGCCTCCCACTTGCTCCTGCTCCAAAGTCTCCCCCAAGGAGAGCTCTCATACTCCCCTGCCCAGCTCTTGGCCTCCAGCCTCTTTTCGTGTGGTGTGTCTACCACCCTGCAAATTTGGATAGGGAGCAGGTGAGGAGAATGGAGAGAAGGGGGCGGGGTCTCGTGTGCATGTGCGTGCACGAGCACACGTGTAAGAGAGGCCTGAGGAATCCTTTTGGCTGCCACTTGTTTCTGATAGCCAGGGCTGCTATTCCTACAGGCTGCCTCTTGTCCAGGCTCCATCCTTAGAGTTCCTTGTCCCTGCTCTGGTGCTGACCAGCCAGAAGCTACCTCTGGCCATCCGGACACCTGGAAACTGTGAGCGCAGAGCAAGGGCACAGGGTGAGGGTGGAGTGTGGGTCTAAGCCTCCAGACGTGGGTGGGTGTAGGATTGGGAGGGGGCAGTGACGGAAACTGCTAGGTTATGGGGTCCTGGAGCCGTGCCTGGCACCAGCCAGGACTGTGGAACAACGGGGCTCTGTCCCACTTACCTCTCTCCTCTCCATGCCCCCAACTTTCCCCAGCCTCTCTCGTGCTGCGCCTGTGCGGGGGGCAGGGCTGCCATGGTCTGGCGCTCCGGAACACTTCTCTCCGAGAGGTGCGTGCCTGGGGGTGGCGAGCAGGAGGGCTGAAGGACCCGCCAGGATGGAGGAGGTTCCTGTCTCCATTTGGCGGGGACTGAGATGGTCTGGGGGAAGGAGTTGGGTCAGGGACCCACCCCCTGGGATTAGTTAAGAAGTCCAGACTGACGTCAGCTCGACTGAGCAGAATGCTTCCTCTTTGTCTTTTTCTCGACTTCTCCAGGTGTCCGGGGCTGTGGTGGTATCCGGGGTGCTGCAGGGCACGCTGGGGCTGTTGGGGGGTCCTGGCCACTTGCTCTCCCACTGTGGGCCCCTGGTGCTGGCCCCCAGCCTGGTGGTGGCAGGGTTCTCTGCCCACAGGGAGGTGTCCCTTTTCTGCTCTACTCACTGGGGCCTGGCCTTGCTGTACGTAAGTCCTGAGAGGCGTGGGGTGGTGACCAGCGGGCTGTGCGGGACTGGGGGAGGGCAGAGCAGCTGGCCGTACCTGATCCAGCAGCCGTCTGAGCTGGGATAATGCTTTGTGGATTTGGAATCCGGGACTTTTGCTGGGTTCGTTTGGTCTCCCTGGCTTTTACGCTGTGCCCCCCTGACCGCCCCCCTTCCCCACCCAAGGTGTCCTCCTTCCTCTCCTCTCTGGGATCCCTGTTAGGGAATTCTGCCGCTCCTACTTCCCTTACCCCCCTCAGGATGCCTGCTTCCTTTTGCTTCTAAAGCTCCTTCTCTCCCCTAGGCTTATCGTGGTCATGGTGGTCTGTTCTCAGCACCTGGGCTCCTGCCACTTACGACCGTGCCCCTGGAGGCCAGCTTCAACCTCCTCACCTGCCACTCACATTCCTGTCTTCCGGCTCCTCTCGGTATGTTGGGGTCTGGGCAGGGCCAGTTGAGGTGGGAAGGGCTGGCGTAGAATGCTCGCTCGGCCCGCTACCTTTTTGGCTTCTGTCTACCCCTCCAGGGCTGGCTTGGAAGGTTCTGGGGGAGTTCTTTCCGGTCACAATCTCGCCCCTCAGGTGCTGAATCCGGTGGCCTGTGTGTGGATCATCTCTGCCCTTCTGCGTCTGAGCGTCAGCCCCCTGGAGCTGTCTGCCTCCCCCAAGGCACCGTGGGTTTGGCTGCCTCACCCAGGTAGCTTTGCTCTTCGTCCTTCATCCTCTTACTCAAGTCAAAGGTCTGTTTCTTTGAACTCAAGATTTCGTGAATTTCATTTCTGAGTTAAATCCTGTTTTCTCAAAACAGGGAAGAGAAATTGCCAGTCCGAGGGGGCAATGCCAGCCCCTCACCACAGGTGTTTTACGTAGTGTTAAGAGACAATCTGCAAGCCCACCACTCCCTGTTAATGATCCTCACCCAATTTACACATTTATGCTATTTACCCTCATTTGGGTTGGTGGCCCTACGTATGAAGATTGCTTTTGAGGCATTGGGTACAAAAGTTGTTCATTCGTCAACTTAACAGAGGTCTGTTGAGTGCTGATTATGTGCTGAGCATGTGATAGGGGACATGGTGATAAATATGACAGATACAGTACCTATACTCATGAAGATTATATCTGCTAGGGAATGCAGGTACGAATTAAACAGTCACCCAAGTAAACTGAAAATTACATGTGGTAAGTGTAACAATGGGGAGAGATATTGTATGATAGCTTATAATGGAGAGTATGACTTTACCAGAGAGATTAGGAAAAGTATTCTTGAGAAAGTGATCTTTGAGCCGAGAAGTGAGAGGTGAGGAGGAGCTAACAGGCGAAGGCAAGGGAGAAGAGCATTCTAGGTTGGGCAAACAGCATGTGCAAAGGCCCTGTGGTAGCCAGCAACACAGCAAGGACAGGGGCCTGAAACAAGGCTAGTGTATCTGAAATGAAGGGAGTGAGGCAGCGTGGTGGAAGATGAAGCCTTGTAGACCATGGGAAAGGGATGAGTCTTTATCCTGAGTTTGTTGGTTTTGTCCAAAGACATTATCTTCAAAGACAATGGGGTCTCGAGGATTCTTGTGGCGCAGGCCTTTGGAAGCAGGGGAATGCTCCAGACTTGGGCCTGGCTCCAAGGTGGCTTTTTCTCCCTCCCCAGCTGAGTGGGACTGGCCCTTGCTGACACCCAGGGCTGTGGCGGCAGGCATCTCCATGGCTTTGGCAGCCTCCACCAGCTCCCTGGGCTGCTATGCCCTGTGTGGCCGGCTGCTGCAATTGCCTTCCCCACCTCCACATGCCTGCAATCGAGGGCTGAGCCTGGAGGGTCTGGGCAGTGTGCTGGCCGGGCTATTGGGGAGCCCTGTGGGCACTGCATCCAGCTTCCCCAACGTGGGCACAGTGAGTCTTATCCAGGTATGTGGACAGGGGTGGGGGCGGGGGAGCTGGAGGTGCAAGAGAGGGAAGGGGACTCACGCTGACAGGTTGCCGTCCGCGTCCAGCCGTCTGTCTGTCAGGCACTCCACATCAATGATCTCATTTAGGGAGGTGCCTAGAAGTGGTAAGTGGCTAGGAGCGTGAGGAAGATACTAAGTTGCTACTAAACTCCTAAACCTCAGGCACTGTACCCTGGCTGGGGGCGGGGTGGGGGTGAGGGTCCACTGAGATCAAGTCATATAAAGTCCCTGCTCTCTTGGGCACTTCAGAAAGGGAGAGGCAGACAATTTAAGAATAAAAGGAAGATAATTACAGAGTGATAAGTGCTATCAAGAAAACAAAGCAGGTAAAAGTTAAAAATAAAATCTTTAAAAAAAGAAGAAGAAGAAAACGAAGCAGGGTAGGAGTGGGATAGTGGTTGAGAAGAGGAGGGTCCTGGGTAGACTGCTTCTTAGAAGGATCGCATTCGAGTTGAGATCCCAGTGATGAGAAGGGGCCAGCCAGGCAAAAACCCTGAAGGGTCGATGGAGGAGGTGGCTGTGTGTTCCAGCATCTCTTCTTCACATAGGCTGGATCTCGGCGAGTGGCCCACCTGGTGGGGCTGTTCTGCGTGGGGCTTGGGCTCTCCCCCAGGCTGGCCCAGCTCCTCACCACCATCCCACTGCCTGTGCTTGGTGAGTGGATGTATCAGCAGGACTGGTATTGAACCAATAGCCCCGCCCCCCACCCCAGGATGGGCAACTGGTTGCTTGTGGCTGGCACCCTCTCTTTCTGAACAGCACCCCTTACCTATGGAGTGTCAGCTGTGGGTCAGCTGCCCTCATTTGCTCAGCCCAACATCTTGGCCTCTTGACTGGGCTTCCGGCATGATGGGAAAATGAGCCTTTGGTTGTCTCTCTCCATCACACCCTGCCCCACCCTGCAACACTCCCCCTGCTCGCCAGCCCTTCCCAACCCCTTTGATTACTTCCCTACGAGACAGGTGGGGTGCTTGGGGTGACCCAGGCCGTGGTTCTGTCTACTGGATTCTCCAGCTTCCACCTGGCTGACATTGACTCTGGGCGGAACGTCTTCATTGTTGGCTTCTCCATCTTCATGGCCCTGCTGCTGCCGAGATGGCTTCGGGAAGCCCCGGTCCTGCTGAGCACAGGTGGGGGTGGGGATGGGAAGAGGAGTTGGGCTGTATGAGAGAAGCAAGGGCTGGTGGCTGGAGGCCCTCTGGACCCCCAGTCCCACACCCTTTTCTGTGATTTGGTGTAAATAGTTCACCCCTTCGTTTAGCAAGTATTTATTGAGCACCAGACTAGCCCCTCTAGATGTTATGGTCCAACAAAAGAGACGAGATGTTTAGGAACATACCGGGAAAGGCTTAGATAAGGAGCTAGGGGCCTTGGCAGTGAGAAGTGGTTTCTGTTTCAGATGATCCAAGTAAGTTTTATGGAAAAAGTTAACACTGAGCTGGTTTGAAGGATGGTAAGACTTGAACATATTTATGGGAGAGGAAGGTCATTTCTGGTGGGGGAACCGTCATAAACAATGACCTAGAAATAGGAAGTCATAGGGTATGTCTGAGGAGCAGCAAATACTTTAGTTAGTGAAGCTTAGCAAATAGCAGTGGCACTCAACTGAGGATGGTTTTGCCCCACATGGAATATTCGGCAATATCCAGAGAGTTTTGGCCATTACAAATGGAAGAAGGGATTGTTTTTGGCATTTAGTGAATAGAGGGATGATGCTAACTATCCTACAATGCACAGTTTCTAGGGGGAAATTAGAGAGTAGAGGGACAAAGGTGTGGGGAGATAGGATAATAATTCAGAACGCTCTGTCCCTCAATCAAAGAATTATCTGGTCCAAAATGTCAGTAGAACGGAGGTTGAGAAAACCAGGCTAGAGCATAGAATGTAGGAAGTGGGAAGTCAGGTTGGGACTTTTAATACCAAACTTTCCAGGGCCTGGAACTACCAAAACATATCCGGAGGGCGTGTGGATGCTCCGAAGGCAGGATGATAGGCAGGGACCTTGTGGGAAAGGCCTGGGTGGGGGAAACTAGAGAGTGGGGGGACAAATGTGGGGGGGGAGATGGGATAATTCAGAATGATCTGTCCTTAGGCCAAGACTTAGATTTAGGTCTAGAAGTATGACTCGTTGGCCTTGCATAGGATCAGAGTTCCCCTCCCCTGGCCCCAACCCTCTGTAGGCTGGAGCCCCTTGGATGTGTTACTGCGCTCACTGCTCACAGAGCCCATCTTCCTGGCAGGACTCTTGGGTTTCCTCTTAGAGAACACCATTCCTGGTAAGTTGAGGCCAGGCCCCAGCACTGGGGAGCAGCCCGGATGTTATCACTCCCTGGGTGGGGCAACAGCCTGGCCAACCTTTCTTTTACAGGCACGAGGCCTGAGCGAGGCCTAGGTCAAGGGCTGCCATCCCCTTTCTCTGCCCAAGAGGCTCAGATGCCTCAGAAGTCCAGGGAGAAGGCTGCTAAAGAATACGGACTTCCTTTCCCCACCCAAAACTGGTGTCCCTGGATCCCCCAGCCCCTCCGGTGCCTCTGCCCCCTGCCCGAAGACCCTAGCAATGAGGAAGGAGGAACCTCTGAGCCAGGAGAGACAGCCGACTTGTTGCTTGGCTTTGGGGAGCAGTGTCCTGAGTCTAGCACAGAACTGAGGTCTCAGTGATTACTGGGACTCCTACCCCGTCCCAGTTAGTTTAGCCAGATCTCCCAGCTTGCCGTGAGAGTCAGCTTGCAGGCTCTCGTTTCTCCTAGGAAGAAGGGTGTGTGTGTGTGTGTGTGTGTGTGTGTTGTGTGTGTGAGAGAGAGAGAGAGAGAGAAATGGGCCCACCTAAAGGTCTCACTTCCCAATAGGTGTGTTGCCTTTCCTTCTCTTAATTAGGCCTAACCGTTCTGGGCAGGGGCCATGGTTTAGTGGGCCATGACTGACTGACTGACTGACTGAATGAATGAGCTTTTGCATGTGACCCATCTATAGTCGAACCCCAGAATTCACTTAACAAATATTTATTGAGGGCCTCCCATGTGCAAGGTCTTGGAACTACAGATATGGGTAAGACAGGGTCCCTGCCTTCTTCAGGCACTTACCATTGAAAAGGACTTATGTACGGGCACCTTGGGTGGCTCAGTCGGATAAGGGTCCAATTCTTGACTTTGGCTTAGGCACCCGTGTAGGGCTCTGTGCTGAGCATGGAGCCTGCTTGGGATTTTCTCTCTCTGCCCCTCCCCCTGCTTGCCTGCTCTCTCTCTCAAAATAAATTAACATTAAAAAAATAAAGCCTTATGTAATTATTAATTAAAATCCAAGGCAGAAGGCAGTCTGTATTATAGATTAAAACAACGCTATGGGAGCAAAAGAAACCATTAATTCTGATTGTGGATAGTGGCCGAGGCCTCATGGAAGCAGCAGCACTGAGGCTGGCCTTGACAGGAGGCCTTTGGCGGTGGAAAGCGGATGGAGAGACTATCTCAGGTTCAGGTATGCAGCTGGAGCAAAACGGTGAAGTGTACAAAGTACAAGATGAGTTGAGGGATTTCCAGTTTCTCCGTGGGGATGGAGCAGAAGTATGGGGGTAAGACAGGAGGGGTCAGACCATGGGGCTTATGCACGGAAGAATCCTCTCTGTCTGAAACACCTTGAGTGCTGCTGAGGACCAGAGAGATTATCTGGTGAAGTTCAATTTCCTCATTTAAAAAAAAAAAAAAAAAAGGCTGGACAGGTAGGGGAGGGAAGTGACCCGAATTTATCGGAGAGTCCAAATCCTGGGAGCCCTCTCCCGCACCTCGTATGCCCTTCTTTCTACTCGGCCAGCGCGACTCCGAGGGGCGCCACTACTACCCCACTTCGCTAGCGGCGAGGCGCGCAGCCGTCTTCCCGCTCTCCGGGCCCGAAGACCCCGGAGCGCTCTTTCATCCGCCGAGAGGACCCAGATGCCCCGCCCACGTCGGGCCTCGGCCCCGCCCCTAAGTCCCGAAAGGCCTTTACTCTAGGCCTTTCGGTTGGCGCGGTTGCTGAGGGGAGGGTGGGAGCTCTCGTGGCCGCTCACGGTAGGTGACGTCGGGTTCGAATCAGGGCGGAGGCCCCGGCCGGAGCCAGGCGGCGAGGAGTGCCCGCGACTCTGCCGACTTGCCGGGAGTCGCGCGCGGCCCGCGTGCTGCTGCAGGCCTCCGTGGGTGGGCGGGGCCCGTGCGCCGCGCGTGCGCAGCCCGCCTTCCGGTGGCGAAGCGGGGTTGGTGGGGCTACTCGTTGGTGGGCTCCTTGGAGCTGCAAGGCGGTTCGTGTTCGCCTTTGCTACCCGCGAGGGGTCCCGAGCGGCTCCTCGGTGCCGCCGGTGCTGTCAAAGTGGAGAGGCAGACGGCGAAGGCCCTCGCGGGGAGGGTTGATGGAAAGAAACTACGTCAGGCGGGACTCCTGGGGTGGGGCTGTGGTAAAGGGAGCGACGGTTGGTCCCCACCAGAGGGACAGGGCGTGGCCCAGCCCGGAGGGTGGCTGGGGCCTTGCTGCCCTCTGCAGGATGGAGGGGGAACTGCGCTGAGAGGGGCTGGACCGAGGGGCGGTTCTCGGTGTGGACCCGGGTTCGCTGACTACCGCACCTGGTTCTTGGCGCTTCTAAGCGTCGTTCAAGAATAATAAATGGATGAATTTAGTTAACGTGAAGGTTAAAAGACGGCCTTGAAAGGGGGAAAAAAGATGAGATACAGAGGCCTTGGACTCAACAGGAAGCGCGTGGTAGGAGCAGCCAACCCCAGGTCTGGTGCTAAAGGTCTCAGACCTTCCTATGGGGGTCTGTTGTCCTTGAGCACATTTTTTTTTTTTAAATTAAAAAAATTTTTTTTTGAGAAAGAGAGACAGTGATAGAGCGCGAGCAGGGGAGAGGCAGAGAGAGAGAGAGAGGGAGACACCGAATCCGAAGCAGGCTCTAGTCTCTGAGCTGAGCTCTCAGCATAGACCCCAACGTGGGACTGGAACCCATGAACTGTGAGGTCATAACCTGAGCTGAAGTCGGTGGCTTAACCAACTGAGACACTCAGGTGCTGCATGCCCTGAGCACATTGTAAACTCCTTCCCCGGCCTCCAAACAAGACAAAAAACAGCTATACGGTTTGAAGGTTTTGAGCTCCCAGGCTTTACGAAGTGTTACGCCAGGATAACCAACCCAATTTTGGCACTTATAGAGGGTGCACTGAAGGGCTGGGGACTTCACTTGTTCTCTTGCCTTTGTGACCTTTGGCAATGTGGAACTCTGGTCTAGTGAGGACTAGCTTAATCATTCCAAGATCTCCCTGTAGGAGCAGCATGTGCAAAGTGACTTCAGTCCCATCCTCCAAACACAAGGCTGCTGCAAATAAAAATCACAAAATATATTTATTTTTCACCTATTGACTGTACAAATTAAATTTTGTTACAAGACCCCACTTCAAGAGCTAGGTTATGGTTGTAAGAATAATGGCTTAGACTGTGACGGAAATGACAGGAGGAACAGAGCCATGTTAATCATGTTGATGAAATCCAAGGAATTTCATTATTTCCTTTATATTCTAAGATGCCTCCCTCACTTCACTTTGTATTTATAGACTGAAATAATGAAGGAAGTTGTATCACTCTTTAACCATGGGAAAAATGACCAAACTTCCTGTAAAGTAACCATAGTTACTGAACATCTACTAGTTGAGATGACAAATTTAGTTGTTGAACTAGAAAAGTTGGTTTCCAGGAGTTCCAGGATATACAGCAGGGCATGACAGTTACCTTGGGTTGGGGATCTGGTGGATGAGTGAAATGGAAGCTAATGAATTGTCTCTACCTGTGTAAAATGCTGTGCCTTGGGTTTATGACTTCTTAGTCACCCAGGTTCTTCTCGAAATGGGATTTGGGGCTTTTTTGTTTGCTTCTGGACAAACAAAAGAGTTTATTATGTCTTTATTTGTGTGTCACATTGATCCCTTTGAGAATTCGACGTGGCTGTGGACTCCTTCCTCCCAAATGGCTATACGCACGTATGCACAGATATTGCATATAATTCCAGAGGATTCACACGCACAGACTCTAGATTAAGAATCCCTGTCTTGAGGAATGTATGTACGTGTATATATGTGTGTATGTATATATACACATATGTATATGTATATATAAGCATATATTTGAAATTCTGAGAGCTTCTAGAGTCTTATTTCTAGATAGTGATCAAATAATTTGAACTTCCTGCTCATGACACTTATGACGTATGATGTTTTATAAGACAAGAACTACTTCTAGATGTTCTGGGAAAGGGTAGCATTGACGTATTTGTTAGGAATGTGATAAAGATGAAACAAGAATGGTTGAGGTTTCCACATTAAGTTACAGTGTTAGAAAGCGGAAACACTAATACCAATATGCCAAGGCTTAAACACTATAGAGGATATGTTATACCCTTTAGGAACGTAATTAAAAAGAAAAATTCTAAATAGATTCATAGTGGTCAGGAGGTAGTAAGGTTGCCCAGCTGGTTATATGGGGGGCAGGGGATAAGAGTGAGGGGTGAGGGGGAGAGAGTGTGTGTGTTGGGGGGCAGGGGTAGGATGTAAGTCCATGCCTTCTGTCTTATTAGGGAGGAGTCTTTCACAAGGCTTCTTTGATACAGAAGTATTTGAGTGCTGCCTCCACCCCCAGGCCCGCAGCACCCTGGAGCACTTTCCTAAATTAAGACTTTCTGCAGATGGAGGAACTGGAGCAAGGCCTGCTGATGCAGCCATGGGCATGGCTACAACTCGCCGAGAACTCCCTCTTGGCCAAGGCTTATATCACCAAGCAGGGCTATGCCTTGCTGATTTCAGATCTTCAACAGGTGTGGCACGAACAGGTGGACGCTAATGTGGTCAGCCAGCGAGCCAAGGTAAGTATGATGAGCAGTGCTGCAGTGGGGCGGTCGCGGGTGAGATATCTGTCTTAGGGGAGGTCAGGGTACATTCACACCAACCAGCTTCCTGGCCTGTAGGTTGCCAAGGGAGGTCGGATCAAGCTGAGACAAGTCCGATGGGTGTCCTGCACTTCTACCTGAAGCCCTGGGACCTTTCCATTGGCTTGTATGTGTGTTAGCTTTGGCACTGCGTGTAGTACATGGCACGATTGTGATGCAGGCCAGTTGCCCTCTCTTTTTGTTTTCTTCTTTCCTGTGTCTGTGTGTCTGTCTTCCCTTTTTCTCATGCCACTGTCCTCATGTTAACCAGAGGTTTCCTTTGCTGTGACGTAGGGGGGAGTCCATTTCCTTTTAGCGCCCTCACTCTGTACAACCCCTGCTGTCTTCTTAGGAGCTGAACAAGCGTCTCACTGCTCCCCCTGCGGCTTTTCTCGGTCATTTGGATGATCTGCTTCGCCCATTGTTGATGGACACTCCTGGGCCCGGCAAAGCCACCTTTTCCTGTGATCATGTGGCCGAGGCACTGATACTACGGGTGCGGAGTGAGCTCTCTGGTCTCCCCTTTTATTGGAATTTCCACTGCGTTCTAGCTACCCCTTCCCTGGTGAGTGCAGTTCAAATATGGGGAGGGGAAGGGGAATGGCAGCTGCTTTGAAATGAATCTGTAGGCGCTCTTATTTTTTTGTGGACTCCATTTGAAATCCTTCTCCAGTTGGAAACTTTCCTTGAGCAGATAGAAGGCAAAACGGATTCTTTTTATTTTTTTTAATTTTTTTTTATGTCTTTATTTTGAGAGACAGAGAGTGAGCAGGGGAGGAGCAGAGAGAGGGAGTCCCAGAATTGGAGGCAGGCTCCAGGCTCTGAGCTGTCAGCACAGAGCCCGACGTAGGGCTTGAACCCACAGACTCTGAGATCATGACCTGAGCCAAAGTCAGACACTTAACCGACTGAGCCACCCAGGCGCCCCGCAAAACGGATTCTTGACTGGTGTACCCTTTACTTGCCAAGGGAGCAGAGTTTGGGTTTACCCGCTTTATTGTGTGTCTTTATTCATTACTTTATTTATTCAACATTTATTAAGTGTCTACTGTGGGCTAATTGTTGGATGTCCAGATCTAACACAATATAGCCTATTCCTAGAGTTTGTAATCTAGTGAGCAGACAGACAGACAGGAAATGGGATAAAGCATGGCAAATTCTCTGATTGAGGTAAGCTCAGGATGATCAAAGGCCCAAAAAACCTTTTTGAAGAGATAGTTTCTGAGCTGATTATGAACCTGAGCGGGAGTAATTAGGGGAAGACCAGGAGGTCATTCTTGACTAGAGTGCACTTTGAGAAGCGGGGTGAGAGAGAAGTGTGGGGCAGGTGGGGGCACTTCATGGCTGCAGGGAGTTGTGGGAAATGAGGTGGGCCGTGGCCAGATTTTGAAGGATTCTAATGAGTTTGGATTTTATCCAAAACGCAGCAGGGATTCACTGAAAAACTTTTAAGCACGGGTTTAACGTGATCCAATTCATAATTTATCAAGATCAGCCTGGCAACAGGGCAGAGTACGTACCAGTGTGAGGTACCTTTCTGAACACTTCTTGTCACTTAATCCTCACCACTGCCCTGCAAGGTAAGTATTATTTTCCCTGTTTCCAGAGTAGGAAGCTGAGATTGAAGACAGTTTGTCCAGAGTCATCCAGCTTATAAATGAATGAGCTGGAAATTTGCTCCCAGACAGGTCTGATTCAAGAGCCCATTTTCAGGGACTAGGACGATAATGTTCTTTGCTCTCTTGTAGCTTTCTAGACCCCAAGAGCTTTTATGAGAAATTAGTTTGAGAGTAGACAATAAACTTGTTTACAGGAGTTATTGCCGCTAGTCCCTTCCACCCTTTTATATAAACAGCTCGGTTCAGTCAGTAGCATTAGAGGCCCGTGTCTTCTAAGGGAGGTCTAAGGGCATAGGACAAGACCTGAAGACAAGTGGACATCACTTTCTCTATCCCTTCTACAGTTTTCCAGAGGTGATGTGATGTTTGGCATCAACAGGGTGGATGTGACAAAGTGCTTTTTGAGAAACCGTTTTCTGGTGTTTTAAAAAAATTTTTTTGTTAATGTTTATTTATGAGAGAGACAGAGACAGAGACGGAGCGTAAACAGGGGATGGGCAGAGAGAAATGGAGACACAGAATCCGAAGCAGGCTCCAGGTTCTGAGCTGACAGCACAGAGCCCAATATGGGGCTTGAACCCACAGACTGTGAGACCATGACCTGAGCTGAAGTTGGATGCTCAACCGACTGAGCCACTCAGGTGCCCCATTGATCTGGAATCCAGTAAAGCTGGGCTTGGGTGCTTGGAGAACCACTTCTCATTCATCTCAGACATTCTAAGGTCCATCACCAGTGCTTAGCAGATAACAGTCATTGATATCTGTTGATTTTAATTGAAATTTTTTGATGAAAATTTCCATCCTTCCTTAGATAGCTCTTTTGCTCAAAACCCTGTTAACTTTTTCTAAATAACACCAGGGGGCACTGTTCCCTCGATAATGCTTGTTCCAGGACCAAAGCGTTAAGGCTGCCTTTGGGAAGCCCTAGCAATAGCTAGTCTCATTTTGCATCACATAGCCCAAGAAATTCAGAATAGTGAGATTACCAGAGGCAGGTCTCTTAGGAGGCCGATGGGCTTACATGTTTTTGTTTTTGTCCCCCCCCCCCCCCCGCCCGCGCCCCCCGAATGAATAAAGAGAATTTGTATAGGGAGATTATAATTGAAAATAATAGGTAAAGGGGAAACTAGCTATTGTAGGCAAATTTCTCTAATTGGCCAGCTGCAGTAAGAAAAGAGGCATCAGTGTGGAATCAGTCCTGATTGGCCACAGGGAGACGTGAGCATTGAACAGTTGGTGAACAATTGTGCTTTAAGGTAAAATAAAACATCTATTATTAAAAAAAGAAGAAGCATACCATCCCAGGGAAACCCCAGAACCTGAGAAGGCTTTACAGGGAAAAAGCTGGAGCCAGTGGACACTGTCAAGGATGTAGGCGGATACTATTTCAGGCTTGTGTGTGTGTCTGTGAGGTCACACAGTCATAATTTTTGTTTGTTACTCATTCTTGTGATAGTTTTTATTTCATTTTTTTTCAATGAGTAATTCATGCAAAAGACAAACATTTCAAATAGCATTTAAGGGTCTAGCATGAAAAAATAGGTCTTTCCACTCCTTTTTTCTAGTCGCTCCTTTTCCTTCTTTAAAGCAACTACCGATGCCATCTTGTGAATTTTTAAAGCTAGACGTAGGTTTGTATATATGTGAGTATGTATATACTCACACAATCAAATATGTATTTGGGTCTGTGTATCGTTTTCACAAATGGCAGCGTTCTATCCACATAATACATCACTTATTCTACAACTTAGAAATCATTCATAGCAATATATTGAGAAGATCTGGCTTAATATTCTTTAATGGTAACAGAGAGTTTTATTTAATGAATATATCAATGTGTGTTTAATTGATGTGCTACAGGTAGACATTTAAGTTGTTCTCATTCTTTTGTTGTTATGCATGGTGACTATTCTTGTATTTAGTTTTCCTCTGTGTAAATGGATGAGTAAACCCCTAACAGTGGAATAGCTGAATCAAGGAATATTTGTTATTTTATTCTTGTTCATGTAATGCCAAATTGTCTTCCAGAGAGACTACGCAGCTTAACTTCTACTAGTCCTGCAGGAGAATAGGAGAGCACAGCATAGGGATTCACACTAATGACTTGATAGCTCGCAAGGCTCTGCAGGGTATTGTGGCATATGTAGAGCTTTGGGTCACTGCTTTCTATCCCATTTCCACTTCTAGCCACCTTCCTTCATCCCTTCTCCCTTCATTCTTCCTAGTATTTGATGTAACTCTTTTTTATTTTTATTTTTTACTTATTTTGAGAGAGAGATAGCAAGCAGGGGAGGGGCAGAGAGAAAAAGAGGGAGAGAGAGAATCCCAAGCAGGCTCTGCCCTCACGAGCCATGAGATCATGACCTGAGCCAAAATCAAGAGTCGGACGCTTAGGGTACCTGGGTGGCTCAGTTGGTTGAGTGTCCGACTTCGGCTCAGGTCATGATCTCACAGCTCGTGGGTTCGAGCCCCGCATCGGGCTCTGTGCTGACAGCTAGCTCAGTGCCTGGAGCCTGCTTCTGATTCTGTGTCTCCTTCTCTCTCTGACCCTCCCCTGCTCACACTGTCTCTCTCTCTCTCTCACAGAAATAAATAAAACATTAAAAAAAAAAAAAAGAGTCGTACGCTTAATTGACTGAGCCACCCAGGTGCCCCAATAATTGAATTTTTATGAGACTTGGTTTTTTCGTCTCTAAAGTGGAGATGCCAGTCATAGCCTTACTATGGAATCGTGAGGAGTAAATTGAGAACATAGGTAGTGTGACTGAACTTTAGCATTATAGTGGACCTGTGAGAGCAAATATTCTGACTCTATAATTTTCCCTTGAAAAAAGTTTTCCTTGAAAAAGATAAGGACCATGAAGGTGCTTGGGATTAAGCCATTTTCACATCTAGGTGTTCTCATAACCAGAGCTGGAGTCTAGATCTAATTCCTAGTCTTTTTCCCTCTTTACTCCTTCCAAACCTGATATAATTTATCTTGGGGTTGATAACTGCCATTCTGCTCTTGTGCCTCTGACCTGTAAACATTTCAATGGGAAATCTGAAGACATCGAGGGGAGTTATAAATAGCTTTTCCTCTGGAAAAGATTGGCAACTACTCCCTCTATATCCACCACACTTCCTGACTGCCTTAACTGTTGTGAGCTCTTTGAGGGCAGAAGCCTCATAGGGTAGTATATATTAGGCACACCGTAGGTATTTGTTGAATTGACTTATTGAACTGCTTCTCTTCATATATTGTTGTCTGTAAATGAAGGGATGGGGGTGTTCCTGACCTCCTAAGTACTTCAAGATTTTTTCTTGTAGTGTCTATAGATTTGCTTTGAAAACTGTTACTTCAGATATATACTTGTCATACTTAGCTGATCTATGTTAGTGTTCATCTAACTTTGAAATGAGTTAAACTCCGATAGTCCAGAGTGGTGTAACCCGATAATCCAAAGTGGTGTAACCCAATCCCATTAAATTATTGGAGAGGTTGAAATATTTACTGATAAAAAACTAATTTTTTTTTTTTTTTTTTGCTATGTATACATTGGAGTCTGATAGATCATTTTAGGTGCCTGGTATAGCATTACCATATTTAATTAGAACATGGCATTGATTAAGAACAGCTTCTTGTTGTGTTTCATGTTGTTGTATTTACCACCACTCAAAGAAATCACTATTAAGGGGGATTCCCAGGACAGGCTGGTTATTAGGAGTTTCTGTTATTTGAAGGCTGTCACCAGATGGATGGTGACGCTGTTTGGTTACCGATTGTAATTACTTTCACTTCAGCCCCTGGAAACATTGACTTTCATACAAGTATTCACCTATTTTTTCTCCTAATCTACCTTGAATGGACCAAATGTAACAAAATAATTCATAGGAAAGAGGGTTGGGTCTAGAGCAGATTAATTTTGCCGAATCAGAACTTCTGTGACATTTTTTTTTTTTAATGTTTTATTTATTTCTAGGAGAGAGAGAGGCAGCATGAGCAGGGGAGGGTCAGAGAGAGAGGGAGTCACAGACTGAAACAGGCTCCAGGCTCTGAGCTGGCAGTCAGCACAGAGCCTGACGTGGGGCTCGAACCCACGAACCGCGAGATCATGACCTAAGTGAAAGTCGGACGCTTAACTGACTAAGCCACCCAGGCGCCCCAGAACTTCTGTGACATTTTGAACAGTACTTCCTGGAGGCTTAAGTTTATCTGAAGGACCTGAACTGGGAAACAGGACCAGGTTGGGATGTGCTGTGTGATGGAAAGAAGTGACTGGTATTTACAGCTAGACTTGAATTCTGGCCTTCCACTCTGCATCAGGACCCTACACTTCTTGGGTCCTGGTGCTGGTACCAAAGCTGCCGCCACTAAACCTTATTACCCACCCACACCCCCCGCGCCCATCTCTTCTAATCTGTCCTTAGAGAAACATAGGGCTTGGTGTACTATGGCCAATGGGCCACCTCCGGTTTGCTGACTATTTTTCTGAAGTTATATTGGAACTCCAGCACTCTGATTTATTACATGTTGTCTGTGGGCACTTTAATGCTACAATAGCAGAGTTGACTATTGTGACAGGGACTGTATCGGCCACAGAGCTGAAAGTATTGACTACCTGGCCCTTACAGAAAATGTTGCTGACCTCTGATCTAGGGCATTTCTTCTTAGTGCCTTCTTTAGCTCATCTCTTTGGGAGAAGGGAGAGGAACTCAGAGCATGTACTAGCCACAAAGAGATGATTGATTTTAGCTTTTTTCTTGGCTAAGGCTTTCTTCTTTCTAAGACTACTAGATACCTTGCACAGATGAATTAAATGATTATTCTATGTAGCTGTATGTTACCATGTGAGAACACCATCTTAGCTACACAGTGGTGTGGCTAGGCTTGCGTCCTTCTTATCTCTTATTATGAGCAAGGTGTGCTGGGCAGTTTATTCCTTCCCAGGCTGGCCCCTTGGTGACTGGCTGGCTTCTGTAATGATGACCTGAGACTTTGGTGCATTTGTGGGAGCAGATTGAAACTCTGGGCTCATTCTGGGCTATCTGCAGCCCTGAAATGGCTGTAATCAGTGTCTAGGTCTAATTTGAGGCTGATCCAAGGCTCTCTACTCTCTGTTGATTTTTGTCTTCTGTTATACGCCAGCTAGCACACTCTGTTTTAGCCACACCTACTTTCCTGAAGGCTACTTGGGTTTCTGCTTTTGTCCCTCAGTCTCTGAGGAGAGTTGAGGCAACACTTTCCTCTTGTCAACTCTGTCACATCCTTCTCTTTATTTTCTTCTTTTTAAAAAAATTTTAAGTTTATTTTGAGAGAGAGAGAGAGAGAAAGAGAGACAGAGAGAGAGAGAGAGAGAGACAGAGAGAGAGCATGAGCAGGGGAGGCACAGATAAAGAGGGAGAGAAAGAGAATCCCAAGTGGGGCTTGAACTCACAAACCGTGAGATCATGACCTGAGTAGAAATCAAGAGATGGACGCTTAACCGACTGAGCCACCCAGGTGCCCCATGTCCTTCTCTTTAAATTGCCACTCCAGGTTATCTGTCCCTGTGTTCTCCCCTATTCTTCCCATCCTTTTATCTGTGCTACCAAGAAAACCCTTGAACTTCTTTCACATACCTATTTAATGACTTATTATTATATTTGTGTAGGTGGACTGCTTGCCTATGAAACTGTAAGTCCCTGTGAAAACATTTATTTTTCAGTATTTCTTTTTCTAGTTCCTAATATAGTGTTAGGGAGAACTCTGTAACTGTCTGTTGGCTGATTGACATCTTTTCCATGAAAGGTCTCCCAGCATTTGATTCGTCCTCTCATGGGCATGAGCCTGGCCTTGCAGTGCCAAGCCAGGGAGCTAGCAACCTTGCTTCGAATGAAAGATCTAGAGATCCAGGACTACCAGGAGAGCGGGGCTGTGCTGAGCCGAGGTGAGAGGGTATTCTTCGGGCTGTTGGGGCGGGAGAGTGGTTCAGATGGTCAAAGGGCCTCAGAAAAGGGGCAAGTCATTTGCATTAGAGATGTGCTTCCCCGGGGAGGTGCTGACCAGCTGCTGGGTGATGCTTCTCTCTGCCTTAAGGACTTGGCTAGTGCCTCGCAGCCCACAGAAGCTGTAACTGAGTCCAACCATGGCCTAGGCCATGGCAAGGAAGGACTTTGGAAAAGGGCCAACAGCTCTATACAAAACTGTATGAGGGCAACGCAGACTTGGGACCTTAGGAAGTGCTAGAGTTTCAGCTTCAGAGTAAAAACCCAGTTTGACCTTTGTCTTCATGGCAGGAAAAACTCCTAAGAACACATGCTGTGACCGAACATGTCCTGTGTGGCGAATCACCCTCTCCTCCTGTTTGCTCACACATTCTCATCCCTTCTCCTGCTGGACTCTGGGTGTTGCATGTTTATGCTCTTTCCCAAGAAATCTTGGGCTCTGTTTCTTTTCCTCCTCACAGGCAAGAAGCTCATCCTAAGACTAGTATTTCTTTTCTGTATCTCTTCTTATTACAGATCGGCTGAAGACAGAGCCATTTGAAGAAAATTCCTTCTTGGAACAATTTATGGTAGAGGTAGTGTACATAACAATAAGAAGTTCCTTTTCCCTTGTGCAGCTTTGCTTTATTTTCTCATGCATTTTGGGTGTTAGCTTGCTTGCCTGGTTGGGAAGTCCTTTCTCTGAAAAAGGTACCTATAGAAAATCTGATAAAGCCTGAGATGCACATTGGGGAAGCTAAGGTGAAACAGGGAGCAAGAATATAAAAGGCGAAAGTGAGCTGGTTAACATCCGTAAAACATCTCTGTCAACGTAGGGATTTCATTTGGAATTCTCTAACCTTAGAAAGTTTGATGGACCAGTTGATAAATTTTTGCTTGTTGAGATCAGATCGCAGGTCTGGGTTATAGAGCGGGGGGCTAGTTATTATTACTTGTCCAGGCCCCTTCAACATCCCGCAGCAGAGGAACGTGAAAGCACAGGGCTACCATTTGGGAACTGTCTTGTGGGCGCAGTAGGCTGTGGAAAATCACAGTGTTTATACAAGGGGACTGGCAAAGGAGTGAATGGGGAGTAGATAATTGTGGCCTGTCAGAAGCTCCTGCCTAGGTTTCCCTTCTAAGGATTTAGCTTGGCCAAAAGAAACATCTATTAAATGCCAAACAGGGGGAGTATTAATAATAGTGACCTTTGATAATAACAGTCAATATTGATCTTCTCCTTCTCTAACTCTTTTGGGACTGGTTAGTTGTACAGTGAGTACCTTAGTATTATTGCCCTGTTTTCTAATTATACATGTTACCCAAGTTAGTGCTTTACTATGTAAGCAAATAATGCTATTATAATATTATGTTCTATATAGATTATTCATATTTCTGTCTTGTCATCTCGGCTAATTTATGAACTCCTTGTGGACAGGAACAGTGACTCATATTTCTTTTGAACATGAAATATTTTTCACAGGGCCAGGCCTAAAGCAGGTGTTCTTGACTTGGAACCTTCTGTTTTGCCTCTGTGCATTGGCTGAACAAAGACGCCATGATGCTTGGGTCTTAAACCTAAGAACAAAAAATGCGAGTTGAGTGCTCAGTCCATCTATTGAAGCAATTTAACTCTGGAGAAGGGGGAATACATGTACTGTTAAGTCCTGAAGCAGAGTAGATTTCAAGTCTTTATGGGGAAAGAGAGACCATTAGACTTGCCACAGAGAGATTTCCTAGGCTATTTTTCTGTCAGATAGCTTCCTCTGTCCATAAGTGTAGGTAGTAAGGAGGTTAACACAGGCTGGGGATGACATGCTAATTTGCTGCTTCGGCCCCTTAGTTAAACCATACAAGGCTTATTCTTAGCCCAGCAGAGAGGTCCCTTCCTGATCAAGTGCCCACATACTTATCCAACTTGATTTCTTGACATTTTTCTTTATGAACTTCATACTTCAGTGACAGAGAATGACTCTGAATTGCCAAAATGCCTTTCTTTAGCCTTTATGTCTTGGCACACATTGTTTCCCTTATCTGTAATGCCCAATGCCCTGGCCTTATCTACCTTGTAAACTTCTATTTATCTTTTAAGTGTCAGCTTTGGCTTCTTTGGGAGACCTTTCCAGACTTTCCTTGTAAAGATAATCCTCCTTTCCTACTACCTTAGTACCTTGGTTCCTACCTCTGTCTTACCACTTATAACTTTGTGATATTATCGTTTATATGTCTGCAAGACTATGCCTTCCTCCTCCGTTGACCTATGGACAATTTGAGGACAAGGACCATGTTGAATGCTTTTCTGTATCCCCAGCACTGAACGTAGTGCCTAGGAGTGGTAGCTTCTCGGTAAGTTTGTAGATGAAGATGTTGGTAAATCTGTGCTAGGGGAAATTTCATGAAAATTGTGGCAGTGTGGCCTGTGCGTGCAGTGCTGCTGGTGAGACCTATATTTGGGGGTCTTCAGTCATTCTCCTGGTTTATTTTGCAGCTTTGGATGAATCAGTGCTCTCAGAGCCTCCGTTTTCTCATCTGTAAAATTGGAGCCTCCTCACTTCCATGCTTTGTGGTGGGGGCAGTTCTGCAGAATCGAATGAGAAAGCATGGAGAACTCTGGTATATTGGTGCCTTGGGACCAATAACTTCAGGAGCACTGGTCTTCTAAGTACTGAAGTTATTGGTACTTAGAATAAGTACCGACCCACGGAGACTTATGGAATTTTACGTATCTGCAAAGGATCTGAGAGACAAGTGGCTGTAGCTTTCCATTTCATAGACTAAGAAATTGGGCCCCGGAGAGGTCAAGTGACTTGCCTAAGGTCATGTAACCATAGCTATACGTGTAGGACCTCCTGCATATCTGATCTGGGGTCATCCCTATTTTGTTTTGCCACTCTAACTGGCTGTATACACCATTTAGAAGAGAGTTAAGGGCTAGGATGGTGTGGAATCTTGTGACCTCTGGAATCACTGAACGTCCTGCATAGCTGCTAGAACCCCTCTCCTAACGGGACTGCAGAATTTCTTAGGGCCTCTGCATCTTTTTCAGTCACTCTTCTTGTCTGGGGTCCTGCAAACAGGACACAGAAGGGTCATGGGGTCACCCAAGACAGCTGAAAGGATGTGCCATCAAAATAAGCAACATAGGAAGATAAACAAACTGGGGACAGAGAGCTCGGGATGAAGGTGCAGGGGGGCCAGGGCTGATGTCAGAGGGCCGTGCGGTCAGTGCCTAGGGTCTGTTTTTCCTAGTTTTAGGCGAGAGGCCATAGCGATAGGGCACAGAGGGCAGTAGGGCAGAGAGGTTTCTAGAAGACTAAGGCCAGGAAAAATATTTAAGGGTTGAACTGGGGTTACATCTTCATATTTAGTTCTTTTGTTTTTCCTCTCCCACCAAGAGCCTTTGATTTCGCATTTCCAGGGAGCCCAAGGGGGCCAATCGATGGTGGCCTGATTGGAGGGTGGGGGGAGGTGGGTACTGGCAGTGTTTCTCGAGTCGGCTGGATGGAGTGGCTGCTGGTGTGATCTTCACAGAGGGAAGATCTCCATAAAGAGCATTTCCTAGGACTGGGGGCTGGGAGGCCCCGTTAGGAGTGGAAGATGAGTCTAGGAACTGGGACGGTTACCGCATGGCAGTAGCAGCTGTGTTAAAGAAGTGTAGGAGGATGGGGCCGGCGTGGCCCTCTCTCGCTCTGGTCCACTGGAGGGAGTTCCTTCCCCTGGCCCTGTCCATGCCTCCCTCTCTCCATCTGGTTGCCATCAGGCTGTGCGGCTGCTGGCGGGCTCTTTATTTATTTATCCCAGTGTAATGGGGTGAGGAGGGAGCTGGCCTGAGGCTGGCATTCCGAGGCCATGCCACTGAGCCACAGGCGGTTTGCATGGGTGTGTGAGTCACTGGGGCTGCATGCTGCTCAAACCAGACGCGGCCAGGCTCGGGGACAGCAGGCAGCCCAAAATAGAGCCCCGCCCTCTGCAGCTGGCAGCCCCTGGCCGGGAATCAGCCCTTAACACCAAAACCTGAGTGGATGCATGAAGCTGGCTTCCTTAGGGAGGGGGCCTTAACCGAGAGATTCTCTCCTTCCCTATCTTCAGAGAGGAGTATTCAGCATAGCTAGTCATTCCCATTGCCGCATGCTGCATGCTTCGGAAGATTGAAATTAATCTGTTCGGTATAATACCTTCACCGGTTTCTATTATATGGTTATAGTTATGTACCTATAGGTAACATTGATTTGACTCAGTGTCCTAAATGTGACCCTGGCCTTTGTGTCCTGTCTAGTTTTAAGTTACTGTCTTCAGTCCCTGTATGGCTGCAGCCTGATGCTAGAGCAGATACTTCAGGTTGTGAAGATATTCACTGCTGCTCTTAGAAAGCTAGACGTTATATGAATGATCCCTAGGGGAGATGAGGAATCCTTTAACCTGGAATTTGCTGTCCTCTTGAGCTCATTCACAGATAGCCTCTGCTTGGTTTCCTTGGCTGGTGTTCCAGTCTTTACCTGCCCCTTAAGTGTTAGTGTTACTCAAGATTGTGTCCTTATTCACTCGCCCTTCCCTCTCTGGGTCATCTCATCCAGACCGCAGTTTCAGCTGTCACGAGTACACCGGCGAGTGCCAATTTTATACCTGTATTATGTTGCAGCCCATATTTTTTCCTGCACATTTGACATGTCCACCTGGATGTCCCACATGCAACACCCTAAACGTGTCCAAAAGAAACCATCTTCTTCCCCAAACCCATTTGTCTTCCTATATTCCTTATCCTGGGGACTCGTACCAGTATCCGTTCAGTTTTCTAAGTTAGAAACTTGAGAGTTACTCACTTTTGTCTTTGTCCTTACTTCCAAAGCCTAACTTGTCAACTCTCTTTGAATCTGCTCTTCTCTATTCTGGCATCCATTGCCTTAGATTAGCATCCCCTTCCCCCTCTTACTGGTTTGACCTTCTAGGAGCCACCGAGCTTGTGACTCAGTCAGTCCTTATTCCCCTCCAGTTGAATTTGCGTTCTCTCAGAGTGATCTCTTTGGAACAGAAACCGAAACTGGATTGCTTAGAGTCATTTAGGGGTTCCTGGTTGCCTACAGGATAAAGTTCAAACTCCTTGCATGGCACAAAAGGCCATTCATGATTTGGTCCTCTTGACCTCTGCAGCCTGAACCTCTGTCACTCTCCCACACTGAAGTCTTTATTTTTTTATTTATTAAAAAATTTTTAAGTATTTATTTATTGTTGGGAGAGTGCAAGAGAGGGGGGCAGAGAGAGGGGGACAAGCTGACAGCAGCCAGTCCGATGTGTGGTTTGAACTCAACGAAGAGTGGGATCATGACCTGAGCCCAAGTCGAAGTCAGATGCTCAACTGACTGAGCCACTGAGGGGCCCCTACCACACTGAAGTCTTGATGTCCACACATCTCTTGACCAATTTGCCTGGTATTCTCTTCCCTCTTGTCCTCACGGCAAACTCCTTTGTAGCCTTCCTTACTCTGCACAGACATCACCTCTTTTGTGAGCTTTCCATGACAGTTTTTCCTTGCCTCAGTCTGCTCTTCTTTCAGGCACAGGCCACTATCCTGCTGTTCCCATAGCCTCCAGTATATATC